CTCGCGCGACTTCTTGCGCTCCTCCGCGCCCTCCATCTCCTTCTGCTGCGCCAGCAGCCGCGCGCGGATGCGCTCCATGTGCGCGTCGCTCTTCACCATCTCCGCGTAGTAGTCCGCCGGCCGCAGCAGCGCCACCGCAGACGGCGGAAACTCCGCTTCTCTTCCCCCTCCTCCCCCCCCCTGCGCCGGCGGCGCCCGCGGCGGCGGTGGCGGCGGCTGCTTCCTCCTGGAGCCGCACGAGCGCCGCCTTGGCGCCCGCGGCGGCCTGCGAGTAGAACGCGGCTTCGCGCACCAAGTCGTCCGCCGCGTCTACCGCCTCCACGCCGCCGGCGGCGCCAGTGGCGGCGTCCGCCTGCGCCTCGTCGTCCATGACGATGACGGCGAGCGACTCCATCCACGACCGCTTGCCCGCCCACGCGAACTCGTCGAGCTTCTTGCGCAGCGCGGGCGCGTCGTTTATCGCGTGCAGCTTCTGCTGCCCGCCGAACAGCGCCGCCGCCTCGCCCTCGTCGTCGTCGTCGCCATCGTCGTCATCGTCGTCATCGTCGTCGCCGCCCTCGTCGCCCTCGTCGCCATCTTCGCCTACGTGTTCGTCATCGTACTCCTCACTTCGGACTAATTCCTCCTCGTCCTCCCCAGCTAAACTATCGTCCACCGCCGGCGCTTCTGCTTCAACCATGCTAGCCGCTACCGAGGTTGTCGATGCTGACGAGCAGCGGGGTGGTAAGCACTGAGCTTACGAAGCAATGCCGTGGAGGAGCGGAGAGGTGGGGGTGGCGTTAGGGAGAGAAGGAGAGGGTTTGGGTACGAGGGAGGGACTGTGACAGGTTTTGAAGCTAGAAGCTCAGAACTAGAGCGAATGAAGGGAATCGTACACACGAATTTCTACACGTGCAATCCTTACTTTCCCCGTACCCGTTATTAGCCTCTCCTTGAAAAAAATTACCCGTTCCTTCGAATGATAGTACAGTATCGCACTTTGGTTTCCGTCCGAGTGGATCTAGGTGGTCGTGTGCCAGCACCATCACCTTTGCCTCGCTTCCACTTCGATCTGTCAGGCGGCCCATCCCCTCACTACGGTTCTCGAATTCCTGAATCTCGTCATTCTCAGATCACTAATCTGTCGCTCTGCTGCCTTCTCCGCACCTCGATCCCTCGGCGTCGATACCGTACTCGTGTGGATCCGCCTCGCTTCCGCCCGCCGGCTATCTGCCGCATCTGCGTGACCGAGATCGACCACGGAAAACGATCCCGACCGTCCACTCGCCCGCACTCGCACGGCTCCTTGATCGTCACGCCGCCTCTTAACTCCGTCACCGACCAGTCACGATGCAGGGCCCGGTGCTCGTTCTAAGTACGTCCTAAAGTTTAGTGCTGTCAGCATCATTGCAGGGAACGCTATGGATCCGTTTACCTGCTGTATCTGCCGCATAGATTCCGCTTTTAGAGCAAAGACTGGTGAATCTGACGCGGCTCGGCGTGAGCAGAGCGGCGGCGAGTCGTAAGCCCGCTCCGAGCCACGCAGCGCTCTAGAGCCGCAGGATTCGAGCATTACAGTCGTCCTTCGCTTTGTCCTTTGAAATCCGCGTCGTGCTGTGTTGACGCGCGTACGATGCGAGGCCAGTGGGTCGATCTTGAGCCCCGGATGGCATGGCAGCCCGTGCCCGGCCGGATCATCGCAGATTCGCAGGCATCCACAGCTTTTGTTGAAGTCACGTTTGAGACATGCGCGAGGAAGCTGTTGAGAGGCACAGCTTCCTCTCGCTCGCCGCGGGACCAGCTAAGAGAAGAGAAGACGTTTTAGGGAACGGAAAGCCGTTTGGGAGCGGGGATTTTAGGATGCGATGGAATGGAAAGCAAAGCAGAGAAGTGCGGCCGTGCGCCTCACCATCCCTCCGTGCATTCCCCTCCCGCCTTTCTCGCCTTGTCCCGTCCCCGTCCAGATGCGAACACGAAGCGCGAGTCGGGTCGCAAGGCGCAGCTCGGGAACATCGCGGCGGCCAAGGTGAGACGCGAGACCCGAGACGCAAAAATTAGGAATCTTGCTATTGAGACGTTCGGTTTTGCGCAGTGAGTCGGTTCGCAACGTCGCTGCGAGACGCGAGGCGCAGGGGTTTGGTTTTGGGGTTGAATGGAAACCGCGCGCTGGAAGTAGCGGCTCTTTGCATAGCGAGCTTTGGGATATCGCAGCAGGGTGGGGGGAAGCGGGGTGGCGGGAAGCGGGGTGGCGGGAAGCGGGGTGGTGTGTAGGTTGTAGCGCGGGTGCGGAGTAACGGCGCGGGTGTAGCAGTCGGGGTTTTGGGCGCTTGTGGCAAGGACGAGTTTGTGGACGACGCGAGCCAAGGGAAGCCCTGAGGTGCCGCGGGAGGTGGCGCGGAGATGCGGAGACGCGGAGATGCATTCGCTGCGTGAGCACGCAAGTGTGCTTCCAGGCGCGCCCACTCTTTTCTGCGCCGCCCCTCTTCGATGCTCACTCCCATCCATTCTAACACACCCCTCCGCCCTAACCCCTTCGCCCATGTCCTCCTCTGCCGTCTCCTCGCCTCCCTTCCCCCTCCCACCTCTCCTTCTCGTCTCCCGAGCTTCCCTTTCTCCTCTGCCCCCCCTCCCCCCCTTGCATCTACCTCCGCCCCCCTCGCGCGCGCAGGCCGTGGCGGACATTATCCGCACCACGTTGGGCCCGCGCTCCATGCTCAAGATGCTGCTAGACGCCACAGGAGGTGAGGTGCACGCCACAGGAGGTAATTGTGTGACGGGCATACGTGGGTCACTCTTTCGAAAGAAAGGCGTGGACCCCGTTGAAGCTTGCCGCCGTGCTGCTTGCTGAGCACCCGATTCTTGACGACGTGATGGGGTGGTGAAATGGGCTCATGAGCTGCTGAGCGGCCCTCAGCTCAGGTCACCTGATTGGGTGGTGGGATGGGGTGGTGGGATGGGGTGGTGGGATGGGGTGGTGGGATGGGGTGGTGGGATGGGGTGGTGGGGTGGGGTGGTGGGATGGGGTGGTGGGATGGGGTGGTGGGATGGGGTTGGGTGGTGATGGGGTGGTGGGATGGGGTGTGGTGATGGGGTGGTGGTGTGACTAGGGGTGGTGGGATTGGGTGGTGGGATGGGGGGGTGGTGGGATGGTGATGGGTGGGATGGGGTGGTGGGTGGGGTGGTGGGATGGGGTGGTGGGATGGGTGGTGGGAGGGTGGTGGGATGGGGTGGTGGGATGGGTGGTGGGATGGGGTGGTGGGATGGGGTGGTGGGATGGGTGGTGGGATGGGATGGGGGATCGGGTGGTGGGGTGGGTGGTGGGATGGGGTGGTGGCGATGGGGTGGTGGGATGGGGTGGTGGTGATGGGGTGGTGGGATGGGGTGGTGGGATGGGGTGGTGGTGATGGGGGTGGTGGGATGGGGTGGTGGGATGGGGTGGTGGGATGGGGTGGTGGGATGGGGTGTGGGATGGGGTGGTGGGATGGGGTGGTGGGATGGGGTGGTGGGATGGGGTGGTGGGATGGGGTGGTGGGATGGGGTGGTGGGATGGGGTGGTGGTGATGGGGTGGTGGGATGGGGTGGTGGGATGGGGTGGTGGTGATGAGAGCTGCCTGAAATTCCCATTCTTTTTATGCCATGCCATTCTGTAAATGATTCCCGCCATTTCCAATGCCATGCCGTGCCATGCAGGCATCGTGCTGACCAACGATGGCAACGCCATTCTGAGAGAGATCGACGTCACGCACCCGGCTGCCAAGGTGAGAGCCTGTGTCGTGAGTGGGTGTAGGGGCAAGGCGTGTGATGGAAGAGAGAGGTAAAGGTGTGATAGGGAGGGATGTTTTTACTGCTGTACTGCTGCAGGGAGTGCTCAGTAGCACAGTCAGGGTTGAGGGCTGAGGAGGGTCGAGGGTTTAGGTTTGGGGTTGAGAGGTGTGAGCGTTGGGGCCCTGGAATTCGCTATAACCACGTGACGGTTGGGACGTGGTCGCCAAGGCACCCACCGGACTCTCCTTAGCAGCATCCACAGCCGTCCACCTCCCTGCCTGCCTGCCCCACCTTGCTCCCTGCTACTTGCCCTTTGCGCTTTGCATCACCTCCTCATGCCCCGCATCACCTCCTCATGCCCATGGGCTTGTGCCTTGTGTGCGCATGCATGCGCCTAATACTCTCCATGCCTCTGCTGCTGCTGCCTGCTGCTGTTGCTCCTGCTGCTGCCCTGCGTGCCATGGGTGTGTGGGGGTGGGGTCGCATGGCAGTCCATGATCGAGTTGAGTCGCACGCAGGACGAGGAGGTGGGCGACGGCACCACCTCCGTCATCATCCTTGGTGGGTTCCCCTCCCCTCCTCTTCCCTCCTCTTCGCTCCTCTTCCCTCCTCTTCCCTCCTCTTCGCTCCTCTTCCCTCCTCTTCGCTCCTCTTCCCTCCTCTTCCCTCCTCTTCCCTCCTCTTCCCTCCTCTTCCCTCCTCTTCCCTCCTCTTCCCTCCTCTTCCCTCTCCTCCCCTCTCCTCCCCTCTAACGAGATGCATCTCCTCCCAAGCACCGGCCTCTCGACTCCTTTCCCTCGCCAGATACATCCCCTCCTCTCGCTGCGCCTTTCCCTTGCTATTCACTCCACTCTGCAAGCCCGCTCAGCCGCCCCGGACATGCCCTTCCTCTCACCCCTCACCTATCCACTCTTCCATTCCCTCCGTTTGTTTGATGCCCGGCATGCCACGTGTCACCACTGCGTGCTGCCAGCTGGCGAGATGCTCCACGTGGCAGAGCCCTTCTTGGAGAAGGGCTTTCACCCCACCGTTATCTGCAGAGGTACGCCCTCAGTGGGGCAGGGCGCTCTCAGTGGGTGAGGGTGGTGGGTGCAGCTTTAGAATATCATGTGCCCCTGTCTTCGTTCTCACTCTTTCCTTTAACACCTCATCTCCCCGCCGTTGCCTTTCCCCTCTCCCCTCTCCTTCTCCCCCGATCAACCAATTGCCCATTCACCCCCCAATTACTCAACCCCTTAATGGTGCCATGCCATTGCTCATTCCCCCAACCCCCCCATGCACCCACCAGCGTACACCAAGGCGTTGGACGATGCCATAGCGGTGATCGACAAGGTGGCATTCAAGATCGACGTCAACAACAGTGAGACAAACCTGCCCTCTCCCTCTCTGCGCCCTGCACGCCTCTCTCATCGCTCGCCTTTCTGACTTGCCTCTCGCACTCAGCCTGCTCTTCCCTCTCACCCTTGTTTTGCGCCATAACTATCCCTCTTGCCCTCGCTTGCCTCCATGCCTTAATGCGTGCATTCCCCTGCACACTCTGCCGCCGACCCATCTCATCCTTTCATGCCCCGTCCCCTTGCACGCCGTCTGTGGTGCACTGTGCTTCCCTGTGCTTCACCATGCCTCTTCCTCGCACAGGGAAGCAGATGCTGAGCATACTGCAGAGCTGCATCACACCAAGTTCACCACCCATCCCATTCATTCATCCCCGTCCCCTTGTGCTCCTTCCGCGCGTCCCTGTGCGTCCCTGTGCTTCCCTGTGCTTCCCTGTGCTTCCCTGTGCTTCACCATGCCTCACCAGGGAAGCAGATGCTGAGCATACTGCAGAGCTGCATCGGCACCAAGTTCACCACCCGCTTCGGCCCCCTCATGGCTGTACGTCCTCTTAGAATGCAGCATATGGTGGTCCCCTCATGGCTGTACGTCCTCTTAGAATGCAGCATATGATGTTCCCCTCATGGCTGTACGTCCTCTTAGAATGCAGCATATGATGTTCCCCTCATGGCTGTACGTCCTCTTAGAATGCAGCATATGGTGGTCCCCTCATGGCTGTACGTCCTCTTAGAATGCAGCATATGATGTTCCCCTCATGGCTGTACGTCCTCTTAGAATGCAGCATATGATGTTCCCCTCATGGCTGTACGTCCTCTTAGAATGCAGCATATGATGTTCCCCTCATGGCTGTACGTCCTCTTAGAATGCAGCATATGATGTTCCCCTCATGGCTGTACGTCCTCTTAGAATGCAGCATATGATGTTCCCCTCATGGCTGTACGTCCTCTTAGAATGCAGCATATGGTGTGACAGTCGTCCTGCTTTCACGCCTGACCCCTCGTTCCCTCCTCGCCCTTTCCTCGTGTGCTCGCCGTGTGTGCTTTTGTTCTCCTACACGCCTTCGGAATTCTGTGCCTTTCAATTCCTCTCCGCACTTGGCCGATAGCAGTAGCTGCTCAATCCCTGCCCTTTCCCACAATCCCCTCCTCCACTTTCCCTTCCCCACCCACGTCCTGCCCACTTTCTTTCCCCCACCCACCATCGCACTCTCTCCCCCTCTTCTGTGACAACAGTGCTGGAGGAGGGCAGCTGCTACCTGTCTGCTCAACCCTTCCTCCCCCAACTTGCCTTGCCCTTCCCTCTCTTTCCTCCTCTCCGCCCTCCACTTCCCCCTTCTCTCCTCTCCCCCAGGAACTAGCTCTAGACGCGGTGACAACGGTAGAAGTGGAGATGGGGGGGAGCAGCTCACCACATAACTGCTCTCGATCCCTGCCCTCCTCACCATCACCCTTTCCCCTCACCCACAGGAGCTAGCACTTGACGCGGTGCAAACGGTGGCAGTGGAGGTGGGCGGGCGCAAGGAGATTGACATCAAGCAGTACGCCAAGGTGGAGAAGGTGCCGGGCGGTCGGATAGAGGACAGTGCGGTGCTGCGCGGTGTGATGTTCAACAAGGACGTGGTGACTCCCGGCAAGATGCGGCGCCGCATTGAGAACCCGCGGGTCGTGCTGCTGGACTCGCCCCTGGAGTACAAGAAAGGGGAGAACCAGACGAACGTGGAACTGCTGAAAGAAGAGGACTGGTGAGTGGGCAGGATGGGGATGGAGTGAGAAAGGGATTGAGGTTGTGAAGGCATTGAGAACCCGCGGGTGGTGCTGCTGGACTCGCCCCTGGAGTACAAGAAGGGCGAGAACCAGACCAACGTGGAGCTGCTGAAAGAAGAGGACTGGTGAGTGAGTGGTCAGGAAGGGGTGGAGGGAGAGGGGGGGAGGGGGGAGCAAGGGAGGGGGGAGGGGAGGGGGGCCAGCACCTGTGTCTCCTTCTTCCAGGGAGCAGCTGTTGAAAGATGGAGGAGTACATAGCAGCTCTGTGTCGCCACCTCCTCTCCCACACGCGCTCACTGCCCCTCGTGTGCTCTGTTCTTGCCCTCTCTACCACCGCTTTTCCACATGGCAGGGAGCAGCTGTTGAAGATGGAGGAGGAGTACATAGCGGGTTTGTGTCGCCACATAGCGGCATTCAAGCCGGACCTCGTCATCACAGAGAAGGGCCTCAGCGACCTCCACCTCCTCTCCCACACGCCCTCACTGCCCCTCATGTCCCTTGTCCGTGCCCTCTCTGCCCGCTCTGCCCTCTCTGCCCTCTCCCCACATGTGCATACATGCGCCAATGTGTCTCTGAATCTGCCAGGGAGCAGCTGTTGAAGATGGAGGAGGAGTACATAGCGGGTCTGTGTCGCCACATAGCAGCATTCAAGCCCGACCTCGTCATCACGGAGAAGGGCCTCAGCGACCTCGCTGCGCACTACCTCTCCAAGTCAGTGCTCTTTCTGCTCTGCTCGCACTCTTTCTCTTGCCGTTCCTTTCTCCACTGCTGTCGTTGCTGGCAGTGGCATTCCATGATCCATCCACGTCCCCCTCTCCACTTTCCCTCGTACAAAAATCTAGCCAGTCGTCCCGCCCGGGTCTCGTGTTTCTGCCTTCTTGGTTCACCTTTACCAGAGCCGGCATTTTAAGCATCGGCAACCTCATGGCATGCCCGGCTGGCACTGTGGAAACCCGTTCTCCCTTCCTCTACCCCCCTCTTCCTCCCCCCAGCTCCAGAGCCAGCATCGACTCTCCTCCCCCCCCATCTTCCCCTCCCGTCTTCCATATCCCACCATTCAGGATCAGCATCCGCCCCGCTTCCCCTTTCCCGTTCTCCCTTTCCCCTCCCTCTTTCCCCCACCCAGAGCCGGCATCGCAGCCATCAGGAGGCTCCGTAAAACTGATAACAACCGCATAGCTCGTGCGGTAGGAGCTACCATTGTGAACCGAGTGGAGGAGCTGCAGGAGAGCGACGTGGGGATGGGCGCGGGGCTGTTCGGATTGAACTGACACTCGTGCTCCTCTGCCCCCCACCTGCTCCCCCCCTGCTCCAACTTTCACCTTTTGATTTCGAAAACTACTCACTTTTCCTCCCCCCTCCCCCCCCACCCAGAGCCGGCATCGCAGCCATTCGTCGCCTCCGTAAAACCGACAACAACCGCATCGCTCGTGCGGTGGGCGCTACGATTGTGAACCGAGTGGAGGAGCTGCAGGAGAGCGACGTGGGGACGGGCGCGGGGCTGTTTGAGGTGCGCAAGATCGGCGACGAGTTCTTCGCCTTCCTCGTGGAGTGCAAAGAGCCCAAGGCGTGCACCGTGCTGCTGCGGGGGGCCAGCAAGGACATTCTGAACGAGATGGAGCGGAACCTGCAGGTGAGGGAGGGATGGGAATGGGTGGAGAGGGGTCAATCAGGTGAGGTGAGCAGTGAGAATGGGTGGAGCGAGGTGAAGGGAATGCAGCTGTGGGGAAGGTGCAAGCAGCCCAAGGCGTGCACGGTGCTGCTGAGGGGGCCGAGCAAGGACAACATTAGTGAGAGGCGTATGGATTACACTGCACCACACCATGTTCACTCCTCCCCCCCCCCCCTCTCCCCCCACCCCCAGGACGCCATGGGAGTGCCGCGCAATGTGGGGGTGGACCCTCGCCTTGTGCTGGGGGGGAAGTGGGGAAGGGACACCTGTTTCTGTGCATACACACACCACACCACCCCACCATCCTCACCCTCCTCTGCCCCTCCCACCCAACCCCAGGACGCCATGGGAGTGGCGCGCAATGTGGTGGTGGACCCTCGCCTCGTGCCGGGTGGCGGTGCCGTGGAGATGACCGTGTCGGCTGCTCTCAAGGACAAGGCTGGCACCGTGGCAGGCATTGAGCAGGTGGGTGGGCAGTGAAAGGGCATGGAGCAGGTGGGTGGACAGTGTCACAGTGCTAGCCAGGCTATGGTGGAATATACACGCATGTTAGATGGAGCAGGTGGGTGGGCATGGAGCAGCACATTGAAATATGTCGACATTCAAGAGGAGCGAAGCTGGTTCTTTCATGGTCCGAGCATTCCAATCGCATGAAGAATGAAGCTGGTTATCCATTGCCAACTGCCGTTCCTTCATCCCCATTTCGCTCCCCCGTCATCCCCATTCTCTGCCCCTCTCTGGTCCCCTTTTTGCCCCCTTCCACCCCCCATCTCCACGCCTCTCCCCACAGTGGCCGTACCGAGCGGTGGCGTCAGCGTTTGAGGTCATCCCGCGCACGCTAGCACAGAACTGCATTGAGATGTCTCAAAACTCTTCCCCCCTCTCCTTCCCCCCCACGCCCCCCCTCCCTGCAGTGGCCGTACCGTGCAGTGGCGTCGGCGTTTGAGGTCATCCCGCGCACGCTAGCACAGAACTGCGGAGTCAGCGTGATCCGCACCGTCACTGCTCTGCAGGCCAAGGTGGGCGGCAGGTCGAGGTGGGCGGCAGGTCGAGGTGGGCGGCAGGTCGAGGTGGGCGGCAGGTCGAGGTGGGCGGCACACTCTTCCCGGCCCCACTGCCTGCCAGCCACTGCCAGCCATCTGGCCTCGTGGTGCGGTCTGGCCTCCTTCACGCTCCACCGTTCATTCCTCCAGTCCTCTCCCTGCTCTCGTCCCTTTCTTCCCTGTCCTCTCTCGCCTCGTTCCTCTCTCATCCCTCTCTCCTTCTTTCTGTCCCTCATCGACCAATCCCTGTCCTCCCTCTCATCACATTTCCCTCGCGTCACTCCTCCACCTTCTCTGTCCATCACCTCTTCCTCCCTCCCTCCCACCCCCCACGTCACGCCATATCAGCCAAAACGTTATTGAAAAGTCTCTCTCACCTCTCTCTCACCTCTTTCTCACCTCTCTCTCACCTCTCTCTCACTCGTCCACACACATCTATAGGGACATCCGCATTTGCAGACAAACACACATGCCCAGGGACACGCACATTCACAGGAATGCACCGGCATCATTCTCCCCTCCACCCGTCCCCACCCATTTCCCCACCGCCCCTCCTCCCCCGCACCCCAACAGCACGCACAAGGCGCCAACACGTCCATAGGCATTGACGGCGACACGGGCGCCCTCACTGACATGAAGGAGCTCGGGGTGAGTTTTGAGCACTGCTGGGGGTGAGTGGTGGGGTTGAGTGGTGGGGAGTGGTGGGGGTGAGTGGTGGGGAGTGGTGAGGTTGAGTGGTGGGGAGTGGTGAGGGTGAGTGGTGGGGGTGAGTGTTGGGGGGAAGTGCTAGCACACATGCCTCGTGATGTGCTGCATAGCCTCCTCGCCTCCTCAAGCCCCTTCCTCACCTCCCCACGCACCTCTCCTCCGCGTGTATGCTTCCGGTTGGGCAGCCGTGTGCAGTGGAAGGTTGGGCAGTTGTCCGTGCTCTTCCTCCTCGCATCCCTTATTGTTTCCCTGCCTCCCGCCTCTCCCTGCGTTTGCCAGGTGTGGCAGCAGACAGGGAAATTGCTGATGTGGTGTGTGTGCTATTTGCCCTTTCACTCCTTCCACTCACTCACAACCAGCCTCTCCAACCTCCTGCCTCCCGCCTCTCTGTTCGTTCTCTGCCTGCCAGGTGTGGGAGCCGTACGCAGTGAAGGTGCAGACGGTCAAGACGGCCATCGAGGCGGCGTGCATGCTGCATACCCTTGCATGCATTCCCCTCATCCCCCCTCCCGCCCCTCCCCCCCCTACCCCCGGGCTGCCAAGTGTGGGAGCTGTACGCAGTGAAGGTGCAGACAGTGAAGACGGCCATTGAGCCGCTGGGTGCCTCACCTGCGCACCCTTTCATGCACTCCCCTCATCAAACTTTCCCCCCTGCCCCGCTGCCTGCCAGGTGTGGGAGCTGTATGCAGTGAAGGTGCAGACGGTCAAAACAGCGATCGAGGCGGCGTGCATGCTGCATACCCTTGCATGCCTTTCTCTCATCCCCTCCCTGCATCCCTGCCTCCTTTGGCCCTGCCAGGTGTGGGAGCCGTATGCAGTGAAGGTGCAGACAGTGAAGACGGCGATCGAGGCGGCGTGCATGCTGCTGCGCATCGATGACATCGTCAGCGGGCTCAAGAAGAAGCAGGCGAGCGGCGCACCGGGAGGGGGCAAGCCGCAGATGGACACGGGCGATGACGTTGACTCCGAGCAGATGCTGGCCGAGTGAGGGGCGAGGCGGTGTGTTGCGGTGCTGTGCGGTGGTGATCTCTTGAGTGCGTTGCTGTGAGTGTTTAGTAGAAGTTGTCTAGCATGTATTGTACCATATTTTCCGGTGCATAACACCCTTCCAATTGAATGCTTTCGAGTGGTAGATGCGGACCTGGGTGGGTGCACCTAAACCACCTGGTGCTCCACAAGTGAGTGCATGTCAAATGTTAATGTTATGATAGGCTGCAGTGAGGCACTCCCTAGAGGGTACAACATTTGTAGGACTCCTATTTGTATGCTTGCAAACCCTAATCCCAAGTATTCCGTTGCATTCCTATTCTGAGATGGTATCACGAGTAGGTTAGATCCTCGTTCGTTTTTTTTTAGCTAGCCTCCGCGCCCTACGCGCCCTCCGTGCTCTCGCGCCCTCCGCGCCCTCCGCGCCCTCCTCGCGCCTAGCCCGCGCCCTCCCGCGCTGTCCAGCCTGTCGCGCGCCCTCCTTAGACCTCCGCGCGCCCTCCCCCACCGTTGCGCGCCCTCCAAAACCGTCGTGCGCCCTCCTTAGACCGCCGTGCGCCCTCCTCAACCGTCGCGCGCCCTCCTCAACCGTCGCGCGCCCTCCTTAGACCGTCGCGTGCCCTCCCCTCCGCCTGTCGCGCGCCCTCCTCCGTCAACGCTTCCCGCACACCAGCGTGAGCTTACCGCACACCTGCGTGCACTTACCGCACACCTGCGTGCGCTTACCGCACACCTGCGTGCACTTACCGCATCACTCTGTGTGCGCTTCCCGCACACCTGCATGCACTTACCACACACCTGCGTGCACTCACCGCACACCTGCGTGCGCTTACCGCACACCTGCGTACACTTACCACACACCTGCGTGCGCTTACCGCACACCTGCGTACACTTACCGCATCACTCTGTGCGCTTACTGCATCTCTCTCCCCTTCACCTGTGCACCGGTCCCACGCCATTCATACTGCACTTGGCTCCCGGCTCAGCGGCTGGCAGCCGCTCTTCCCTCCGGTAGCGCCACCTAGGTTCGGTTAGAGCCCCGCCCCACGACTATTTTCTCGCCGACTGTCTCTCGTCGGTTTCCCCGCTGGCGTCCCTAGCCTTCCGTAGTTTTCCTCCTCGTTCTTAGCTCCGCCTCCGCCGTGCTCCAGTCGCCTCTAGCATGGGCTCCGCTATGGAGGCCCGTCGCCTCCGTTTCGATGCTGAGGGACGCCCGATCGAGTTCGGTACCTGGCAGCGCCAGACCACACGTTTCCTCACCAGCCAGCGTCAGGACGGCGCCACTCTGTGGGCCCACGCGTCGGGTGCTCTCGCGGCACCCCCGTCCCCCGCCGCCCTGCCGACCGCCCCGGAGCCGACTCCTACGGCCCAGGCGGACTACGACCGTCGGGTCCTGGCTCGGGACGTGTGGCTCTCTCGTGACGCGGCCGCCGCCCTCACGCTATCGGAGCTTCTCCCCCCGACTGAGGCCGCTCACTTTGACCAGGTGGAGACAGCCAAGGGGGTTTGGGATGCTATTGTGGCTCGCTATTCCACCCCCTCCTCCGCCTCCCTCAGTCGCCTCCTCATGCCGTTCGTGTTTCCCGACCTAGGCTCGTTTGCGACTGTTTCCGACCTAGTGACTCACCTCCGCTCGCTTGACGCCGGTTTTCGTTCGGCCTGTACCGACGCACAGCTCCTTGTTGCTCCCCCCCCCATGTGGCTCACTGTGCACTGGTTAGTCACCCGCCTCCCTGACCGCCTTGCCACTGCCCGCGACGCGCTTCTTCAGAAGCACCCCACTGAACTCACTATAGACCTCCTTCAGACTGCTCTCGGGACCATCGAGAGCAGCCTCCTCACCGTTGCCTCCGCCACTGATGCGGTGGCCCCCCGTCTCTTTGCGGGGTGTGCCGCCCCTCAGCTTCCCACTTTCACCACTACCCGCGCTTCTGCTGCTGTGTCGGTCTCTGCGGACACCGCTGCCGTTTCTGCCGCAGACTGGCAGAAACGGGGCAAGAGTGGCAAGAAGGGCGGGAAGGGGGGAGGTGGGGGCGGAGGAGGTGGCGGTGGAGGGGGCGGTGGAGGTGGGAGCGGCGGTGGTGGTGGAGGCGGCGGCGGCGGCGGCGGCGGTGGTGCACCAGGGGGAGGGGGCCTTGGAGGAGGCGCAGGACAGACAGGTCCACTCACAGGTGGTGGCCCGACCGGTGGGGGTGCTGCCCCCCAGCAGCAGCAGCCACAGCAGCACCAGCCACAGCAGGGACAGCAGCAGCAGCAGGGACAGCAGCAGCAGCAGGCACCGCAGCAGTTCCAGTAGTGGGGGCCCCTGCTGCAGTGGGGTCCGCAGCAGCACTGGGGTCCCCCGCCGCAGTGGGGTCCGGGAGGCCCTGGGAGCACCAGCCGCAGCAGCAGCTCTTCCAGCTGGGCCCCTCGCCCCCCTCGCCGTGACGCTGGCCCCTGCACCCACTGGTGCCTCACCGGGCCGGGCAGCCCCTGTCTCTGTGGTCGCGACGACCACTCTGCCGCGCGGTGCTTCCGCCGCCTCGACGACCTCTACCGGGATCGTTGGGGCCCCCTGGCGGTCACGCCTCGCTGGTCTCGTCTGTTAACCCGTAAGATTGATGTCTTTGATTTGTCCATGGACGATGCGCGTCAGCATGCTTTGTATGTTGATGCTGACTTTAGTGCTGAGGGATCTGTGTGCTCGCGTGTTCGTAGTTTAGCCTGCTTGCCTCCTGCTAGTGTAGCCTTGTGCCTGTCTAGCTTAGGTGCTTGTGTTGCTGCTCTAGGTGCTTGTGTAGCGACTGGGTCAGGTGACCCTCCGGCTGAGGCCTCTCTGTCGTTCACGCTGGACTCGGGCGCGTCTCAGTGCTTCTTCCGCGACCACACGACCCTTATGCCACTCCTCACTCCTGTGTCAGTGGCTCTGGCTGATCCTACCTCTGGACCAGCCGTTGCGCGTAGCTCCACCACCCTCCCGTGCCCTGTGGTCCCCTCTGGTGTCCTGCGCGGCCTCCACATCCCCTCGTTCACTCGGAACTTGGTGGGTGTTGGATACCTCCAGGACAGGGGGATCACGGTTACCTTCGTAAGGGGTGGGCGGACTGCAGTCTGTACTGACGCTACCACAGGTGCTGTTCTGGCTACGTTCACCAGGGAGCCCCGCTCTAGTCTCTACGTTCTCCACACCGAGCGCTCCCCGGTCGCGTCCTCCGCTCAGGTCGTTGCGTCCCCTCCGGCCCAGGTCCCCAGTCCAGTTGCTGTGTCTAGCCAGGTAGTCGTGTCCAGTCCGGTCGCTGTGTCCAGTCCAGTCGCTGCGTCTTGCTCCTGTCGCTCTCTCGCCCACCGCACCGTCCTGTGGCACCACCGTCTTGGCCACCCGTCGATCCCTCGCCTTCCTGGCATGCTCAGTCAGGGACTAGTCACAGGTCTCCCACGCACCTTCCCGTCGCTCCCTCTCTCGCTTGCCCCTCCTTGCTCTCCGTGCGTCGCCGGTCGCTTACGCGCCACTCCCCACTCCTCCTCCCTTCGTCCGGCCACCACTCCCTTCGAGACTCTCCACTTGGACGTCTGGGGCCCTGCCCCGACGCAGGGGTCTGGGAGGGAGCGTTACTTTCTGGTGGTCGTGGACGACTTCTCCAGGTACACCACAGTGTTCCCTCTTGCGAAGAAGTCCGAGGTGACTGCTACGCTGATCAGGTGGCTTCTAGCCACTGAGGGCACTCGTGGTCGTCGAGTTAGTTGTCTCCACTCCGACCGTGGGGGCGAGTTTCGCTCCGGCATTCTCGGCGGATTCTGCGGCGAACAGGGCATCACCCAGTCCTGGACGCTGCCAGAGTCCCCACAGCAGAATGGGGTTGCTGAGCGCCGCATAGGCTTGGTCATGGACATCGCCCGCACGTCCATGATCCATGCCCGTGCGCCCCATTTTCTGTGGCCCCATGCGGTTCGCTACGCCGCACACCAGCTGAACCTCCAGCCGCGTGTCTCGCGGCCCGAGGTTTCACCGACTAGTCTTTGGACTGGTTCCCCTGGTGTTGGGTCGGCCTTTCGAGTCTGGGGCTGCCTTGCGCAAGTCCGCGACACCTCTGCGGACAAGCTCTCGGCACGCGCCGTCGACTATGTCTTCCTTGGTTTCCCGGTCGACTCTGCTGACTGGTCCTTTTACCACCCGCCCCTCCACCAGTTCCTCGACTCCCGTGACGTCAGGTTCGACGATTCCGTGTCCTACTACACCCGGTACCCCTGTCGAGGTCTCCCGGTACCCCCCTCCCCCTCTTTTCCTCGCACCCTCTCCTCCTCCTGCTCCCGCTCCTCCGGTACCCCCGCCCCCCCCTGGTCCTGCCCCGTCTGGTGTGTCCCACGCTACCCCTCTACCCTCGGTCGCGCGTCAGGTAGCGTCTCCCTCCCCGCAGTCCTCCTCACAGTCCCCTTAGCAGCCTTCGGCACTTCCGCGACAGGCTACTGTGGACTCGGTTGGTGTTGGAGCTGGAGGTGCAGCCGCTGGCGGTGCTCGGTCTGGGGGTGCTCGGTCGCGGGGTGCTGGGGGTGCTGGAGCTGGAGGTGCTGGCGCAGGTGGTGCTAGTTCTGGGGGTGCTGGAGTTGGAGGTGCTGGCGCAGGTGGTGCTAGCTCTGGGGGTGCTGGAGCTGGAGGTGCTGGCGCAGGTGGTGCTAGTTCTGGGGGTGCTGGAGTTGGAGGTGCTAGCACTGGAGGTGCTAGTTCTGGGGGTGCTGGAGTTGGGGGTCCTGACACTGGAGGTGTTGGTTCTGGGGGTGCTGAGTCTGAGGAGACTGGAGCTGGAGACCCTGGTTCTGCGGAGTCCACTCCGCCTCCCCACCGCCACGACACGCGTCTCCAGGCTGCCCGTCGGCGTGAGCATGAGGAGCAGGAGCGGTTGGAGCGGGAGCGGCAGGAGCTGCGGGTGCTGGACCTTCTGGAGCAGCAGCGGCAGCAGCAGCAGCAGTAGCAGCCGCAGCCGCCGCCGCAGCCGCAGCAGCAGCAGCCGCAGCCGCCGCCGCAGT